TCAGCGGATTGTTCGAGAGATTGTTAGCTCGGAAATCAGCGAACCAAACCTACCCACAAATGTACAGATTAATCAAAGCAACAGAGAGGCGGTGGTGGTTTTCAAAACGTGAATGAAGAGCTGCGATGCAGGTTTCAGATTCCGAGACGCTTTCCCGCCAACGGGGACCGTGAATGTGCTCTCTCCCCGCTGCTCGCTCCTAACGCAGAAAGGCAAGCTCCTCAGCAGCAAATTGCTTCCAGTTTCAATCCATCATTCAATTATGGTGGAAGAATGAACCAGCGAAGACCACGTCGCCAGGGAACTCTTCCTTACTCACATGGAGGCTTGAGGCGTACATCATGTACCGTCACCAGTGCCAGTTGTTCTCCGGCAGCTGAGTACTACAAAGATGTTATTTTGCTTCCCTTGCCTACCTGGATGAAAGTGCCCAGGGGAAACGATAAATCACAATTACAAAAGCGTGGATGCTACGTTGATGCTGTTCGTTTTTCAAAAGTTATCCACCAAACCGCCATATTGTCATGCTGCAGGATGCAGGACAGGTCCTGTGGACTTAAATGAAGTCCGCCGCCATATTGCTGTTTTGCAAAGTCGTCCACTCACATGTCGGCCTCGACGTCATGCTCGCGATATGCGGGACAGGTCATGTAGACTTACATGAAATACTGACCGCATGAAATATATATCGAGAAAAGTCCGTGAAATATTTATATCGAAACTGTATTGAAATATGTAAAATCATTTGACTGTTATATATAAAATGAAAACAGGTCGCTGAATTTGGATATACATATCGCAGTTTCGGACATATATATTGCACTTCGGATATATATAATGTAATTTGGACATAAATATGGCAACTCGGTACATAAATATCACTCTTCGACATTTTGATCCTGTTTGACAAGCATAGAGGTATACGGCGAGATCCTGATATATCTACTTAATTACACATACTTTATCTGGTGAAGCACCCACTATAATGAACAATATTCTTTAGGCTAGCAAATGTTACAGTAAAATGCATGGAACAAAACCACCGATATAAAGAACCTTGGGGCTTAATTCTACAATACCCAACAACTAATCTGCATCTTGGTGATTGACAACAGTTTCTATTGCTTCAAATCGGCCCTAGCTTAAAAAGTTCTGGTTAGCTCTTCGGTTTTTTTCAGGTATTCCAGCCCTAGTATAAACAAGTCACTGTTTTGACCCCCTGCGAGCAGAGTAGTTTTAATCTTTCCCCATACAAGTCGCCTTCATCTTTCCCCACTTATCTCGGAAAGATCGATCGAAGCCACTCGGCTCGCAGGGTATGTTTCAACGAACACAATCCAGAAATCTTAACGGAATATTCAGTGAACTCTCGTGTCCCTGAAAAGTCAGGAAATATGTAACAACGCATTATTTATACACTGTACCTATGTTATTTCGTCATCCAGCTGGGCAGATAGCCAGAAATGCTTCTCTTTACAATATAATTTAGCCGCACTTGACCACACCACTCTGACAGATCAGCTGCCGCCGCTGATCGCTACCATGTGACAATTCCATGTGACCAAAGTGAGTAGTGAGTGTGACTTTTAAAACTTGAGCCCTCGGTCCTTTAGAGGAAAAGTTCAAGGTTCGGTAAACATGTGGTGTAACAGAAGGGTGGCGTAACCATCAAAATGGACTAATGGAAGAGCCTGAGCTGTGGTGACATGGGCAAGCAGGAATGCAATCTCGAGGCCGCTCAAAAATAATGAGGCCTTGTCCATACCAAAACTCTGTAAAAGAAAAGTGATAAACCCATTTAATTATTTGTCTTGACTGCAGTCTCCTTGTGTCTACTCGTACAATGAAAAAGATGGCGGACTTTCATAGGCAAGGTACAAGGACAGCAAGGATTGATGGCTGAATATAACAACTCGACCAACCAACCACCAACTCCATTTTGCTATAGCGATGAGCCGGGAATTTTGTGGTTCGGTTGATTCGCCTTATGGAACATGACATGGAACATGCAGAACATTCCATTCCCATTAATGAAACATTCTTTGCAGGATGAAATAGATATTTTCTCGAATTTTTCTATCTGTTCAAAAATAAGACCAATTTATGCATTAGCTGTGACTGGAGTCACCTTTCCTGAAGTACATTGTTGGTGATCGTGTTGCGTGACCTTTTCTGGTTCACTGATCATGCTCCCAGTGTGAATATTCAAGACTGGTTACCATGGATTTGGGCTTTTTGCGGTGTTACACACAGTCGGGAAATTTTGGCCTTGGCTTCTACTCGAAGTCAAAAAGTCATGTAAAAACTCATAATGCGACCAAAATGAGACAATTTTCGAGAGTATGGCTAGCGTAATTGCTTCTCCAAGGCAAGAATTTCCCAAGAGGTTACCGGCTCTTCCAGTAATCGAACATCCCGCTTTGCGAAAGTCAGAAAACAACAATGCTGATTTACAAATCCGTGGAAGCTCCCGTGAAGAAAGCAAAGCATTTCTGGAAGAACTAGACGATGCTCTTCCGCCGTTAAATAGAAGAATAAAACAGAAAGCTCTGCAGGGACATTCCCGGGTGTTGACATGGCCATTAGGTAGGTACTGAGAGAGAATCCAAATACATGTAAGATCCACATTTTCTATTACAAGTCAGCGTTTCGCTTGAGTGTAATTAACGATATGCACACATTAGCTGAGGTAATTTATCACTCCTTCTAAATGGCACAACAAACCTTTTTTTTGTATCTTTCTCTGCATTATTTTAGTGCTGCATTTAAGTTCTGATAAATGTTATTTTCTTGGCCCTGATTCGATGTTTCTAAATATTATCAATATGCATGTTATTGAATCTCATCGAGAAGGAGGTGCGTGGATGTTTAATTTATATAAATTAATCGGAACACTAAACTGTTATTTCATCTTTTTTAGTTACATTAGAAGGAAAACTGCTTGTCAATTTTGTATTCATTCATTCTCCCAAATTATTAACGACATAAATTTACTACATTGCATAATCTCATCTTTCTGCACTTGCATGCAAAGAATTAAATCTTCTAACCTAAATTATAAGGCATTAGAATGTTTAATAAAGAGATTTAGCCAAGCCTAAAAGAAGAGCTCCTGGGCCAGGTTGTTCAAAGCCCGATGAAGCTAACTTAGGATAAGCGAGAATTTTGATTTGAGTGTTGTAACTTTGGGTTGAGGTTTTCTGTATAATTATAATTTGTTTGGCCTTCTGTTTTGAGTTTGAATAATCTCAAACTACACAAAACAAAAGCAGTGAACAACCTTTGTATAAAAGAAATATACTTCGGTTAACTTTTAATCCTGAGTCAGCATTAAATGGCCAGCAAACGACCAGGCCCTGATTAAAAGTTAACCTGACATCAGCCCACGATCCAATCGAAACCCAGTACTTGGTCAGCGGTCGACTTAAAAAAAAAAAACCATGTGACCTCGATGAACGCTAAACTTGAGCCTGCAATATGGCCATGTGATACTGGTCAGCAGACACCTTGTTTTGACAGGTGTCAATTGACCATAACATGGCTATCCAGTATCAAAGAAGGACACTATAAACCAAGGCTGTATGTGCTATTAGCTGGAATATGGCCACCATCCTACGTGACTCCGTCATCCCTATCATCGATATCATCACTGGTGTCATGCACATGCACCCACAAGTAACACTGCTAGCCATAACCATGAGAAAATCAATTTAAGGGTGTCCTTTTCTCTCTTCATGTTTCCTTCATGAGTATGATGCTTGGCTCTGGAACTCTGTTGTAAATGGTGGCTGAGTATGAGTATGGTGCTTGCCTCTGGAGCTGTGCCATAAGTGGTGGCTAATTTTCAGTTTCATTTGAATATCTGTTTAAATACCAGTAAACTTATCCATTTCCCTGATGTTCTTTACGAGTGCACAGAATAATGTGGGGAGGGGGGCACTCCCAGAAAAAATTGGTGGGGATTTTCTGCCCACTTCCCAAAATCCTTACCCTATTTATAACCAAAATCTGTGATTTTCCCCACCCTATTTATTACCAGACCAACAATTCAATACCCTATATATGACCGTTGTGGCTGACACAGCTGCCCTAAACATAATTTTTGAAGGGCTTTTGTTAATGGTCCTATCGATAATGATCATGAAAAAGTAGCTTCTTCTAAACAAAATATGTAATTCAAGTCTAGAGTACAAAAACCATACCCTATTTAAGACCAATATGACCAAAATTGATACCCTACATGTATTTATGACTAAAACGGCTGGAAAACCATACCCTTTGGTGCTGCACATACCTACACAGCCCATATAAGGGAGTAACCCCATATGCATTATCCAATCTAGCCTCCAGGCCCCAGTTGTTCAAAGGCTGGATAATTCTATCCACCAGATAAATCACTATTCAGTGGATAAGTGTTAACAAAACAAAGTACGCTATTTGCTGGATAGTGATTTACCAGTGGATAGCGTTATCCACCTTTCGAACAACCTGGGCTAGTTGTTTAACTGTGAGACAGCAAAAAGTCCCTGAATTTTGGATAAAGCCGCAAATCAGAGAATTACATTGGAATTCTGTAAATAATTTTGAATGCTAAAAAAAATGACAGAAGTATTTTCCTCTGGGCTTTAGTCGTAAGAAAGTAAAGGGCCAGGGGGGACTTTTGAACTGACAGATGTCAAAAGATATTTTGCCCAGTGTGGTCCTCTATTTCTTCTCTTAGGGCTATACTGTACCGTAAGAGAAATTCAAGTGCACTTCTATCGCTCTGAATTATTAAGTTAACAGAGTTAATCATCTGATTTCCAGCTGACATGTACTTCATATTATTTTGACTGAATTTCTTATAAAAATAACAAATGACTGAAACAATTTTTCTTGTGTTTGAAGGGCAAGGAAAAGACAAGACCAATGGCAATAGTGGTCCAGCATTGGAAACACCTCCACACAAACGTACACCTGAAGAGGTAACTTTTAAGCTTGTGTTTGGACCTCACTCTAAAAATGTAAAAAGTTACGATTTCGACAGACAGAGTACGAACACCATGCTATGCTAGTGGATACAGTGTTATGAGAACATACATGTCATATTCACTTGCTATTGTTTTGAAACTTGAATAGCTTCCTGTTCTTGTGGAACTTGGTCATAATGAACTCATTATTTTGTACTTTTATTTATCGAGATGATTACACTGTACATGTAATTCCCCGTAACATAAGGTTTTGTAAGACATTTTTCTATGACATTAAGAGACATCGAAACTTCATTTGGTTGTAACTACATAGCCCAATTTGGTTTTAAAACCAGCTGTTTGATGATCATGAAATTTTGTTACATTATAGTTTTGATTAATTGGTACATGATATCTGATTCTGTTTGCTGTTTTGTACAAATCAGAGTGGTGGTACAGGGCATGCTTAAAGCACAAAAATAATTAATGGCATTACAGTGAGCCTAAGTAGTGTTCAAGTTTGCTTAAATATCACTCAGACTGAACAGTTGTGTTAACTCTTGATAACCATTACAGACACCACATTGACTCTTACTCATAGTCCTATTTTGTCATTTTGCCTTTTTGTGTTTTAAACACGCCCAGTGATGTACACATTCATTCGATTTTGTTTTAACAAAATTACTCATATGGTAACATGCACGTAGCAAGTTGTGCTCCACTGCACTGGATCCATGCAATTCTATTGGCTTTATATACTCATTTACAGACATGCTTGCTAATTCTTTTACTTCAGCTTGAAGATCTCATCCGTGAAAAGCTATTGACAAGAATTAATGGTTTGCGCCAATCTTTTCGTTCCAATGACCCCATGGGTAAAGGAAATGTATCCAGGTATTTGTCTTTTTCATCCTCTGGTTTTGCGTGTTACCGTATTTAATTTTCTTCTGATATACATGTACTAGAAACTTTTTTCCTCTATTCACAGGGAAGCACTTGTTACAATTCTGTATCATCTGTGTGGCTATCTTACATCTGAACAGATAAATGGTCTTCTAAAGAGGTGATTGTTTATTATT